TGTAAGGTCGTCTGTCAATTTAATAAAATAAAATCATTTGTGGATTTTTTAGAAAATGGTAATTGAATAATTGTTTTAAAAGGCGTCAGGTGGTACATGATTACCAATTTTCGTGGTAGAGCCACCTTTGCGGCTATGAGTTACCTCGATCGGCATAGGACCACGCTCTCACTGAACAGCAGCGTAAAATAGCAGTTTAACACTGCTGTGTTTCGTATGGTGAGTGTAGAGAACCGGAGACCGTTTTTACTGGAAACGAGGCATCCCATCGTATCCTCAGTGGTGACAACGAATCTGCATTTTGATTCTTAATAAAAAAAAAACAAATAAAAATTATTTTTTAAATTTTTGAAATCCATAATTGGTAATAGTAATCTAAATGTCTATAATAAATGCTACATTGACGTTATCGATATTCTTCGTTAATTGAAACAGAAAAAGTGTAATTTGTGGGATATTGTACAAAAAGAAACGACGAACAGTAGGGCATAAAATATTTTTTTTTGATTGCTATTAAATTTGCACAATATAGAGTCGCGGATTTTGCACTATGATACGAAACCTGTCCTAACAATGGTTTAAAACAATACCATTTTTAGTAATAAGTAGAAATTATTCGTAAATATAATATACAATAACAGCAGCATTTAAAAAGTCTCAAGAAGATTTTGTAGAAAGGACATACGAATTATTTCAAAATTTACGCAATATTCCAAAGACAGCAGCGTTTTGACATCAGACTCAATGGATCAATGGATAAAAGAAAGTTGTAGGTACATTCAGCATTTATAATAATACCTATTTAAGGTTGATGGAAAAATTTTTTAGTAGTTCGTTCTTCTTTATACGCATTTTTTTCATATTACATCAGCCAATCCACGAATATCAAAAGAACTTTTTTTCAGATTTTATAATTCCGGTTACATTTTCACAAAATCTTTGTGCTTTTTACTATAATAAATTGGTTACTAGGTAGGCTTTCTGCTCATAATATAGTCTGTTAAAACGAAGTAGAGTTTACTTTGTTTATAGATTTTTTTAATTTTGTTTTCTATACCCAATCTTGTTTCGGTCTTTTCAGTGCATTACTTTTAAATTGTCTTTTTCCACATTGAATAAAACTACTTTTACAGATTTTCCGCGTTTAATTAAACTTATTTATCTTATTGTTATTAATAAAAATCTAATCAAAATATTCATAAATCTAATGAAATTATTAATAAAAAAAATAATCGATGTTCTTTCGCGAGAATTTGTGGTTTATCAAATCTAATGTAATGGCGGCGGCCGTCTAGGATATGATCACAAACTGCAGACTTCGTATAACTATAGGGAATTAATAAAAATAAGATAAACAAGTTTAATTAAACGCGAAAAAATCCGTGAAAGTAGTTTTATTCAATGTGTAGTATTCGCGTAAATATAAGAAATCATTATTGTCTTTTTTGCAGTCCGAGTTTTTGAATTATTGAATTATTTATTTTTTAACAAGTTTTTGTTTATTAACACAACAAACTTGTGTTGGTGTGAACAGGGAAGGTAACTGTTGTCTATAAGATTACCTGATTCTATTGTGTAACTAATAAGTAACTAACAAGCTGTGTTGTAGTTTTTAATACTGTCGGCTTCACCTTTTTTTAACCAATGAGACATAAAAACAATAAAGAATAGGACACCTGCTGTTTTTTCTCCGGCCAGGGAATCTTTTTTTGAAACGGCTCAAGATTAAAGAAAGTAGATGTTTTAAAAGAAACTTAGAATATTTTATTTATTTATTTACATAACTTATATGATATTTAAAAAAAAATTAATAACCTGTTCTACTGACCTCTCGCGGTGACGTGCCGAATATTCTGTCTGCGTTTCCTTGCTAAATGTATATATGTACTTAGCTTTTGGACGAGAAAATAACTAGCCTTATTTCAACAACGAAGACGGCCGAAGTCACCGATATAGTTTTACCAAATTTTTAATGCTTACAACAATAAACTGTTAACAAATAAATTGTTTTTCAACGTGGTAGAGCCATGCAGCAGCTATATTAGTAGTATAGTTTGTAGCACGAATGGGTCGGCTCGACCGGGGAAGGACCACGCTCTCACAGAACACCAGCGTAAACTGGCAGCTTGACACTGCTGTGTTTCGTATGGCGAGTGTAGAGAACCGGAGACCCATTTTTCTCGAAAAGAGGCATTCCATCTTAGTCCTCACGGGTTTGTCACTCGTGAGGACTAAGATGCAGAGAAGATGCTCTCTAATGCAGATGCGTCGTCACGCATCTGCATTTTGATTCTTTATTGGGGATAAATGTATATGTCTATGGATCACAGCAACCATTTACCATCAGGTGGACTCTGTGATCGTTTGTCACCCTATCCTATAAAAAAAACATCGTATTCAAAAAACTATCAGATATTATCAATTTTTTATATAAACTTGCAGTGACAAATGAATAAACAGTTCATCTGATATAACGATGCTGAAAAGATTGGCAGTACGGGCAGAAGCAGTAAGACCAACAAAACCAATAATTTGTTTTCGCACAATATTTGCCATTGTTGCCACGCTTGGCAGACGGCTTGGTAACCGCAGTTTTTTTATTTTGAGTATTTATAAGGAAAATGCTGCATCCCATTTTTTTATAGGATAAGGGTGACAAACGAGCACACAGTCCACCTGATGGTAAGTGGTTGCTGCGGCCCCATAGACATAGACCCATTCGTGCTACAACCATAATATAGCTGCAGCATGGCTCTACCACGTATTTCCTGATTGAAATGAAAATGTATGCATTCAATATACGTTTCATCTTTTGAAAATATGATACATAAAAAATATGATAATTTTTTTCCTATATTATTTATACTGTTATATATTCCTGTATCTTGTTTGTAATCAAAGTAGTTTTTAAAGACTCGTTTAGTATGAACATCGGTAATTATTCTAGTTAATGCTAGACACGTTTATATTTATGCAACTAACAACAAACTTGTATTCAAATTTTTGTAAGTAGCTTAAAGTAAATTTATTAGCATTTATATCTTGTCAACGTCTTACATACTAAGTTTATGTGCAACAGAAATCTAAATGTTTTTACGTGGTAGAGCCACACTGCATCATGGATGGGTGGGCTCGACCGAGGAAGGACCACACGCGCCCCGAATATCCATATAGTATGCTGGTAACGAGGCATGCTATCATAGTCCTCAGGGTTGATGATGCGCCACGTTCTGATTCGGTGATACGTGTAGGTGTCAAAGGGCCACAACATCCACTTATCATCAGCTTGGCTGTGTACTCGTTCGTCACTTTTTAACCGACTTAAAAAAGGAGGAGGTTCGCAATTCGAGTGTATGTTTTTTTTTGTATGTATGTTACGCGATATCTTCGCAGATTGTAAACCAATTTTGATGATTCTTTTTTTATTAAATAGGTTAATAAGGGTGGTCCCATATAAATTTGGAGAAAAAGTTCCACACCGAAGGGTAACAAGTAAACAACTTCTTTTTTAACAATTTGAAGTCGGAGTTTTAATTTTTGTTAAAAGTTATAATTATTATCTAAAAGAAATTAAAAAATTAAAATGAAAAATTAAAAAATGTTTTCTTATCAAAAAAAATAGGTAATATCTGTTGGTTTCCTCACTAGCTAAGCTTCATCATCATCATCATTACAGCCTTTCATAAGTCCACTGCTGAACATAGGCCTCCCCCAAGGAATGCCGCAAAGCACGTTCCTGAGCCACCTGCATCCATCGACTTCCTGCATGTCTTACCAGGTCGTCACTGTATCTCGTGGGGGGTCGCCCTACACTTCGCCTACCGGTACGAGGCTGCCACTTAAGAACCTTTCTTCCCCATCGGTTGTCGGTTCTTCGAGCTATATGGCCGGCCCACTGCCACTTCAGTTTACTAATCCGTTGGGCTCGGTTACTCTGGTTCTACTGCGGATATACTCATTTATAAGTTTATCACGCAGAGAAACCTCGAGCATAGCCCTCTCCATAGCTCGCTGAGCGACATTGAGCTTCCTCATACGGCCAGCAGTGAAGGACCACGTCTCAGATCCGTAAGTCATCACTGGCAACACGCACTGGTTGTACAATTTCGTTTTAAGGTTTTGAGGTATGTCTGACGAGAAGATGTGTCGTAGTTTCCCGAACGCTGCCCAGCCGAGTTGAATCCGTCGATTGACCTCTCGGTTGAAGTTGGACTTACCTAGTCGGACTATTTGTCCCAGGTAAACATAACTCGTCAACAACTTCGAGCTTGCTTACTAGGCAAGCTTGTATCGATGAAACCTGAGACCAAAGTTTTATTTTATGCACCTTATCAGACAGAGTCTATTAACATAATATACACAAAACAGCAATAACAGAACTGCTTATTGCTTTAAATCTTTGAAAAATTATTTTAATATTTATTTAAATTTGTGTTGACAATGCTTAATTATACGACTAGGATATAATGTAGTACGGGTAGTGGAAAACTGCTTTAGTATATTTAAATAAATTTAATCCTTGCACTTCAGGTTTAAGTAAGAACTTGATTTTGGTTTCTCTCTAGTTCAAGGTTCTAGTTGTATCTGTTACGACTTCATAGGGAGAACCGCAGTATAGGTTCCCTCGAAACGGATCACTACTTCGCCACTTAGCTTTATAAACTTCAATCATCTTCAACAAACTTATCACACCCATAGGACGCATAGGGTTGCCTTAGTTAATATTCTCGGACTGTTTATGCTGTTCCACATCATCAGTCTGTGTTGAGTTCAGTGGTTTTAGAATAGATTTTCCTGTTCTGTTCACCTGCACTCTTCTCACCGATATCGTCAGATTGCCGTCTCATCGGACTATGAGACTGAGAATGCGCGTGTGCTTATACTCCCCCTCGTGCGCTTTATCTATAGGACTGGCCGTCGTGACCGAAATAATCTTTATCAATAATCTAAAATATCATTAACAAACGTTTAATTTAGCAACTTAATTTTTTTGTGTTAAGGTGAAACCATACCAAACGTCGCTATGCATACGCACGGCGAGGAAGGTGGGCCGGGTAGGAGTCATGCTTGTGGGATGGGGTGGTAACAATGGTTCCACCTTCACCGCGGCGGTGCTGGCTAATAAACATCAGATCTCCTGGAACACTAAGAACGGGAAAATGGAGCCTAATTGGTGAGTCATTATTTTCATAAATCCTGAACCCCGATTGCTGCCCTGCCAAACACTAATTTTCTTATATTTACGCCATAGCTTTATTCTTTCTACCTGGATATTATAAATATATCATTTTAGAACCTCACAGAATACCAGCGTGAAGTAGAGGTTTACCTCTGCGTTTCGCTTGGTGAGTGCAGGTGGCCGGAGGCCCTTTATACTGGAAATGAGGCATTCCATCTTAGTCCTCACGGGTGGCAACGCATCTGCATTTTGATTCGCAAACGAGGATAGATGTAGATGTCTATGGGCCGCAGCAACCACTTACCATCAGGTGGACTGTGTGCTCGTTTGTCACCCTTATCCTATAAAAAAACTGATAATTCTATCATCTGAAGATGATGTAAAATGACAGTAAGTTAATTAGTCATTCTTAAACAGGTACGGTTCAATCACGCAAGCGTCCACAGTCCGGCTGGGTATCGATGAGAAAGGCAATGACTTCTATGTCGGGATGTCGGAGCTTTTGCCAATGGTTCACCCTGACGATTTGGGTAAGTTGTTTAATGATTTTTTTAACAAATTTCTTATATCAATTTTCTTTTCTATAGTTTTTTGTTTTAACAACATTTTAATATTGTTTTATCATGTTCATAATCCATCTTAATCTCTGTTTTATCTGCTTTTGTAAAATGTATCTATATACATAATCATTGGCAGACTTTATTCCTTTGAATTTCTCAGACATGTATGTTTCGTCACGATGTTTTCGTTTACCGCCGAGCACGTGGTACATCAACAATTAAAATTGTAACTATCAATTTTATTGGTGTCGACGGGGATCGAACCTGGATTGATACATTACTGTGAAATTTACGGCGAGCGCTTAGGCCATGAGTTAGCACAGTCTTGTTATCCTTTACCTACCTACCTTTGTTTTTAAATAACACATAAATTGAAATCATCAATTTTTTTTGGCGCTGGCGGGCTTGAACCTGGGTTATTCGCGTACTGTGAAATGTACGGCGAGCGCTTAGTCGCTGCTACCACCGCAGCTACCACAGTCTTATTTTTCTTATCCTAAAAACCCTCTTAGAAATTAGAGGGGGCTTGTGCCTACCAGTGGGACGTGTATTAGGCTAACTTCACTTATTTTCTTTTCTACAACATAGACAAACGGAAGAATATAATTATATAGACACAGTACATTCATATTTTATCGACATAGATCCGCTATAGTTTATTTCAAGGAACAAGTTATGCCGCCTAAGGTGAGAGCTGAAATTCTCGATAAACTTCGGAAAGTAAAGATAAAGTTATTCCGTCTTTTTCCCTCTGGTCCTTCCCCGGTCGAGTCGACCATTTCGTGTACAACTATACCAGAATTATAGCTGCAGTATGACTCTACTACGTATAAAACTACTATCACTATTAAGTTTCGTTGAAGTTGTTAAATAATAAAAGTATTCTTTTATAAAAACTTTATGTACATTTAAATGAGTGCCTTTATTTCTCCAAAATAGTGATGAATACTGATTACAAACCACAATTAATGATTTCTGTGTTTCAAAGATTAGTTTTGCCTTTTTTTTATAGGATAAGGGTGACAAACGAGCACACAGTCTGGTAACCACCTGATGGTAAGTGGTTGCTGTGGCCCATAGACATCTACATCTATCCTCGATTACGTATCAAAATGCAAATGCGTTGTCACTCGTGAGGACTAAAATTGAATGCCTCGTTTCCAGTAAGGCTGGTCTCCGGTTTTCTACACTCACCATACGGAACACAGCAGCGTTAGGCTGCAATTTTACGCTGGTATGAGAGACGGTATGAGAGCGTGGTCCTTTCCCGTTCGAGCCGACCCATTCGTGCTACTACTATACTACTAATATACTCGTAGCTGCAGCATAGCTAGAGCAACGTTAACCAGTGTGTCTTGAATAGATCCTAAAATACTAAGACGATTAACAAGTGAAAATTCACATTCAGTAAGGCATCACCAGTTCAGTTTATTGTTGGCAACATCGACATAAATTGTAAATGGAAATTTAAGGCTGGTTTTGATTTGATTGTCCATGAATAATTAAATGTATGTACGAGCAAAGGCTCTATGATATTGTAAATAACGTCAACTGTACATTATATCAATGTAGGTCACACTTATTACGACCCCATAGCGTCCACTCAACTTTCATATTATAATGTTAAATTTTAACAAGGCTTCCATTTCGCTTTTGGCAAAGGGTAGCATAAAAATGATTAAATTACGATTTTTGTTTTTTCGTTTTTTGAAGAAATAATTCTCTCAAGCGCTTACACCTTTAATCATATGACTTCTGGTTGTAGCAAAATACTTCGAACGTTGGAGAATTTCAGCTTCAGTTGATAACAAAATTTCGATTAATCGGATTTGTTGCAGATGAATGGAAAACAATTAAAATTATAATCCTAAAAACCATAAAATTACTTTATTTAGTCAGTGCGAGCAATCTTGCTCTTTTTGAAACTGACTTTGAAACACACTCTTCACTTAGGCCGCTAATATATGATTATAGACATATTATTCATAGAAATATGATAATGTAATAACAGTCTTAGGTAGGTAGCAGCTACCTGATACATTTCAAACGGAGGTAGTAGGTTCGATATTCCCGTCCTAGGTATCCGCATCCTGACCAAGATCTTGTGTTCAATGCAATTAACACAAGGTCACAATATATATAACGGTGATTTGACAACTTTTAATGTTTGGTACGTTTCGAGTTGATAAAAGATTAGAGGGCTACCTGGTTAATAAGTGCTAGGATATGTTGTGGATTTTGTGCATGGAACACAGGGTCAGTGTCAGGAGGTGGGTCGCCACGTTAGGAATATAGGTCATTAGGTAGTATGACCCAATAACATTTTAGCCTTTTAATTCTAATTAATTTGTTTGTGAAACCGTTATTGCTTGATTTACATTTTTTAAGCACACATTTAATAACAGCAAATAAAATATCTTACGAGCGATTGCTTATAAACCTACTGCACTTCAATAAAAAATTCCTTGTCTACCGACTTCAAAAAGGAAGGAGGTACACAATTCGACTGTATTTTTTTGTTTGTTTTTAGGGTTCCGTAGTTCCACAATAAGGAACCATTATAGTTTCGCCATGTCCGTCCATCCGTCCGCGGTTTTGCTCAGAGACTAGGTGCTACAAATCTGTAATTTGGCATTTAATCACGCCTAGAAAACTGTAAAATAAAAACTTAAAACATTTTTATTTTGGATACTTCCCATACAAGTAAATGGAGGATAATTTTTTTACCCCTCTATTACGTCATGTGGGGTATCGTTGGATAGGTCTTTCAAAAACACTGGGGGTGTGGAACAACATCTTTTCGATTCAAGGGTCCGTTTGCGAAATATTTAGCTTTAAAGTGGTAGTTTTCACCCCCCCCCCCCCTCTCTACCTAACAACTGTAACGAAATTTTAGTAACCCAACAGCCCAAATTTCTTTACAAGTCCATAGAAAATGAACTAAAACTAGCTGCATTATAACTTAGTAAAGTTATTTTTAACAGTTAAAAATAAACATTTTATGAAAAAACGACTTACATATATGCATTACTACTTTAGCTTTACTTTTTCATTTGCGGGATAGGCAGGGAGGATCTTTCTTACTTACTACTTTCACTTATTTTTTAATTGGTTGTTATTGTAGGCCTCATTCAAAGTATTCATACAATCATATAGCCTCATGTAGTTTCATTTGTCACACTTGGTTTTCGTGGGCGACCTCAGGATAATTTAGGGCAGTGGTGATTTACGTGAAGGTTCATTACGGTCATATATGTATATCTTAGGGTTGCACTGTCGGGAATATATAGATAGATAGTTAACTATGATCATCTTTGTACCTTGGCATGTGAATGAGTTACTGTAAATTGTATTATTTAAAAAAAATCGATAACTTTTTTAATCTTTTTTGAATATCACTCCCTATAAGTCTAATTTGAAAATAATTCCTTCAGTTACGATCTTCCTATTTGGGTCCATCTTTAGTCGTTATAGCGGTCAAACCGCGAACTTACTTATTATGCTCATTATTAAGAAAGCCCACGTATTGCGACGGGCAACTACGGAACCCATACATTGTGCGTGGCCCGACACGCACTTGGCCAGTGTTTTTTATGTGTGTATACTTACTCATAATTTTTTTCTAGGTGAACTGATTTTGGTGATTATTTTTTTTTATTTGAAATCTGGTGGTTCTCATGTGGTCTAATATAAATTTAATCAATGTCTGAACAGTAGTTTTTGAGTAATCCTTAATAATTTATATTGAAGTCGGTTGTACAAAATTTTTAAATTTACCACTTGTTTGAAAAACGATTGTCAAATAAATTCATAAAACGTTATGACGACAAAATAAAAAAAAATCTGTCACAACTTGTTTTCCATTCGTTAAGAATTATCTTAAAGAATACTAGTTTTAGAACAAAATTTATTTGAGATCTTCAAAAACTATTATTTATTTAGCGAACTGTCTGGCATTCATTTTCAACTGTTAATGCTTTCGATAATATTCGGGACGTTTTTGGTATAAATAATGTAATGTCATTTATATGTTTTTTCTTGCTATTTTTGAGAGGGTTTTAAAGCAAGGTGAGGGTCCGCCGCGCTGCCCCAGTTTGTGTTGGCGAGATTCACATTTCCTCGAAACACTTAATTGTCTCATACATGCAGCCCTCCTCACGATGTTATCCTTCACTGCTCATGAAGTAGTAAATTAGCATTATAATTAACCATTTCATTAGTGCTGATGGAGATTGAAATTGGTTTACTTGCGTACAATGAAATGTAAGGCGAGTGCTTTTTCCTCGAGCTACCACACTTCAAATGTAATATTATGTTATATTATATTAGTGATCGATGGATGGGACATCAGCCCGCTGAACCTGGCGGAGTCGATGGTTCGCGCCAAGGTCATCGACTACGATCTCCAGCAGAAGCTGAAGAAGGAGATGGCGACTATGAAGCCTCGACCGGCTATCTACGACCCTGACTTCATCGCCGCTAATCAGGTAAGGAAGATGATCAAAATACAATTGCTTGTATTTTTTAAATCGTAAGACTTATTATATTTAATATAATATATCACTTTGTTGTTCGTCCGTTTGTTCAATTTGACACACATCAAGAACTTTTTGTCAGGAACGGGTAGAGGTATTAAGTTTTCAAATACTAAGGTTTACCCCTTAGAAGTGTAAAAAATTCACATTTATCACATATTTTGATACTCGCAAACTCGTACATTAAAACCTATGTAGTACTTCTTGTTCGCCTAGAATTATGAAATTTCGCAAGAAGCAAAGTCTCATAGCGTAAGTAAAATCCTTAAGAATTCGTTTATTTTTAGTTGTATAACATAGGTAATATTTTTGCGACTATAAAGTTAATTTTGCAAGTTGAAGCATCGACTGTGTTATAGACCGATCTATGGAAGAACATATTTTCCCACGGCAAAGTTTTTCTTTGAATTAGAGACCATTTCGTTAGAGCAATGTTGGATTCATCGTCATTATAGCCCTTCGCAAGTCCACTGCTAAACATAGGCCTCCCCCAAGGAATGCCACAAAGCACGGTCCTGAGCCACCTGCATCCATCGACTTCCTGCATGTCTTACCAGCTCGCCACTCCATCTAGTTGGAGGTCGCCCAACACTTCGCCTACCGGTACGAGGCTGCCACTCGAGAACCTTTTTTCCCTATCGGTACTCGATTCTTCGAGCTATATGGCTGGCCCATTGCCACTTCAGCTTACCTATAATTGCTGGGATGGATGAACTATCTATATACTTAATAAGCTTTTCACGTAACCGTTAGGGCGCGAGTCCTAGAGATAAATAAGGAAATGCCTTGTCACCAGTAAAAGAGGTTTTCGGTTTTCGTCATGCACCATACGAAACACAGCAGCATTAAACTCGGTAATCTGTGAGAGTGTGTTCCTTCCCTGGTCGACCTGACCTATTTGAATTGCAGCCATAATTCAGATACATCGTGGTTCTATCACGTGTGACAAACTATTGTGGCTTGAATAATGTCTGTTTCAATTTTAAAGATATTAAAATAAAATTTATGAATGAATGAATGAATATACTTTTATTGTACACCACGAACAAATATACAAACGTCATAACAAAATCAGATTATAATATGTACAATTTGGCGGCCTTATCGCTACATAGCGATCTCTTCCAGGCAACCAAAGGTGTAAAGTAATACAAACAATGAATAGGTAGGTGGTAGGTGGTGCAATATAAATATACAAATAATAAATGCAAAAAAAAAAAGATATAAATAACTAAGTAATACATGAAATAATATAAATTACTAACACATAATAAAAGATAAGGTAACACATATAATATATACATATACATACACATATACATACATATATACATACACACATATATATAAACATATATACATAAATATACACACAACACGTATATATCAATATATATATATATATATACAAAATTCCTCAAACAATAATATAAAACTGATAGATACAATAAATACATAATCACACAATCTATCCTAACGGTCTCCGAACGACTGAGACAAGTAATGCTCTTTAAGTAATCGCTTAAAGATAACAATAGTTTGTGCCTCACGTATATGCAAAGGTAGGGCATTCCAGAGCTTAATAGACTGGACAGTAAAAGATTTATTGAAAAATGATGTATTGTGAGTTGGCACACTTAAAATGAATTTTCTAGAAGAGCGTAAAGGTTCCCCCGGAAGCCCCACAAAATTAAACTTCTCCTTTAGATAGGGAGGAGTAGAAGGGTGAAATAATACACAGTACAGAATAGAAAGTATATGCATGTTCCGGCGAAGTCGGATAGGTAACCACTTGAGACGTGAGCGAAATTGGGAAATATGGTCAAATTTGCGCAATCCAAATATGAACCGAATACTAGTATTTTGAAGTCTCTCAAGCTTATTTAGTTTTGGTTTGGCAGAATAAATTTATATTTTAAAATGCTGCTGCCTAAATGCTGAAATATAATTTTATTACTTGCTATTTAAAATAATATTTAAATACTAGATTCAAAATAATTAGCAGCGATTAATTCGTAATGATAATGTAAATTGAAACGTATTGAGTAATTTGTTAATTTGTTTGAAATTCAATATACGTATGTCAGCACTCAGCAACTTGATTGATATATTATCTAGAGATAACCGAGTGTGCTTTTTTAATTAAAACTTCGCTTTTCTGTACAAAACTTAGATCAGGTAACTTCAAGGAAGAAATGCCCAGAGCATAATTAATGAGTAAGGTCAAAAACTAAGGTGAAATATAAATTAAGTAATAATATACCTTCTTAAAAACTCTTAACCTTAATGTGCTTTTGTTCTAAATTGTATGAAGGTACAAAAATGATTAAATAAATAATTATAACTTTTAACAAAAAGTAAAAACCGATATCAAATTGCTAAAAAAGAAGTTATTTATTTGCTATTCTTAGGGGTGGAATTTTTTTTCCAAATTTATATGGTACCACCCTTGAAGTATAACCTATTTAATAAAAAAGAATCATCAAAATTGGTTTACAATCTGCGAGGATATCGCGTAACATAATAAACCTGTTGTATCATTGCTTACGCACGGGTGATACTAATCAAGTCTATCAAAGCTGGCATAGATCGAATTTTGGTCACTACTCCAGTATCAAATGAGACTAGCCAACTGCGCAAGACAGGATTATAGTGCCCGAGTGCATGCGCAAGCACAGGTGCACTCTCTATTCTCACTAAGGAACAACTAAGGAACGAAATTCCTGACTCCGTACTGCTACTGAAAATACATACGGGTATATATGCCCCAAAATATTGGTTTACTATACCGGCTTTGCACAAGATAAGAGCAGTTTCCTTGTGGAATCGATTACCGTCAGCGATTTTTCCGGACCGATACGACTTAGGGACCTTCAAGAAAAGAGCGTACTCCTTTTTAAAAGGCCGGCAATGCATCTGCAATTCCCTCCCTGGTGTTGCAGTTGTTTATGGGCGGCGGTAGTCACTTACCATCAGGTGAGCCGCATGCTCTTTTGCACCCTCTCCTATAAAAAAAAAAGTTTACACGATATTTGTAAATGTTATACGTAGTATTCTTGCAATGACTAAAATTAAAATACGCCTGTCTTCTTCACGAGACAACTGTACAAATTTGTATCCTCATATTTCAGTTTAGGCACTTCTTTTAAAATCAAATGTTACTGCACACTACCAAGATATTATAACTCGTTGACATCAAAATGTTCATCACTTTGTAGTACATTACGTCATTTATTTATATAGCTACTAATAATATAGAAAAGGTATGTAGCATACGACGCAATGTACTTCAAAGTGATGAACATTTTGATGTCAATGAGGTATGTCAAAAAAGTTGGCTTTGTTGAATAGGCTTGCGGATCGGGTGATAGTTTCGCTATCCACACAAATTTAGTACGTAAAGGTATGACAGTGAAATCCTTGCTAGGGTTTCTAATTAACTATCCAAGCTGAAGTAAAAGCGAAGGTTGATTTAATCAAGGTGTGAGAATTGCTGACTTACTACTGCTACTCACATTAGCTTGCTATCCTAGCTTTGATAAATTAGCGTCATTTAAGTGTAACCCGTGAATAATTGAACGTGATCTAAAAGACATAGCACTGTTTCTTTTCATAATTATATAATATTATCATCACTACCAGAGCCTATCAAAAGTGCTACAGAACATAGAGCTCACTATAAATTACCTAAGGTATATTTGGCATAGATGCCACGATTGGCAGGCAGGTTGGAAACTGAAGTAATTTTTTATTTCACGTTGTTATCGGAAGTTGCTACTGCCCATCTCTTGTTACATTCCCCTCAGTCGCCTCTTACGATACTTACTGGACGAAAGGAGGTAGTCAATATTCTTACACCGCCACTACACTGATAGTAGAACTGATTACAGGGATTTATAAAATGTATAGGCAAGAAATTTTTGAATTTGATTAGGTGTCAATATATTCTAAAGTGAAATAATAAATCAATTTAATTTTTTTATAGCATAGTGTGACAAACGAGCACCCAGTCAACCTGATGGTAAATGGTTGCTGTGGATACACATCAACATTTATCCTCGTTTGATAACCAAAATGCAGATGAATTGTCACCCGTGAGGACTAAGATGGAATGCCTCTTTTCCAGTAAACATGGTCTCCGGTTCTCTACACACACCATACGAAACACAGCAGTGTTAAGCTGCTATGTTACGCTAGTTTTCTGTGAGAGGGTGGTCCTTCTCCGGTCGAGCCGACCCATTCGTGCTACAACTATACTACTATTATAACTGCAGCATGGCTCTACCACGTATAGAATTGAAATGAGGTAGTATGTGACAAATTTTTACCGGGTTGCTAATTTAATATGTCTTGAATGTGCGTACGCATTAAAAGTTTGATAATTTACATCGCGCACATGTCCAAGGGTGTCAATTATGTATAATGGTCAAAGGAAATAATTAAATTCATTTGGTTAACAAATGAATTATGGTTACCGCACTCAACTCTATATACGGTTTATCACGTGCGGTAATGTAAGATGTGACACGTGTAAATTTGTAAACGTTTGCATTTTATTATAAGGTTTGAAAATATTGCTATCTATTCATGTTGTCCGTGTACTATGTATGATACATTTTAATAACGTATTGGCCGGTGATATTCTTGAAAAACTTGTCATCTGTTCAGCATATATACGAGTAGACAGTGTTGTGTTAAATCTCTAGAAATTTTCAAACTTCTAGGCACAACGCTTCTATTACCACGCTTTTATTAGCTTGAACTGTTCATGTAGTTATGTATATACGATTGTGTGTGTGTATGTATGTATGTAAGCATATATTATGTACGTATAGTATGTATATATGTTATGGAATTTTAAAATTAAATTTTCACACACCTCCAGACATTTGAATATTCTGAATAATGATTGATGAATGAAAATTTTACAGACTAATTAAGAACCGGTGATA